GTGATGAGTTGTTGTGATTGGTTGGGGAAATAAGTCAAGGTAGCACTAGAGCTTGTTGATGAAGGAGAAATATGCGCTGTCCAAGGAAACCATGGAAATTAAAAATGGCCCTTTGGTTTTTAACTTGACCTTATAATTTATTGAAATGAAGGGATTTTGAGAACAGGCTATTTCACCTGTTGGTGTTAGTTTACCAGATCTGCCCAAATAAAACAAAATGCCACAAACTGTGTGGCTTCAATCACAGAAGATACTTTCCCACAGTGTCAGAGATCAAGGTACTAATAGTGTTGGCTTCTTTGAGGATGCTGTCTTGACTTGTGTTGGTGATAGATTTCTGTCTTTCCCCCAAGAACTGATTGCAACAAAATTTCTGCATTTGTACATCAATTAGTCAAACTGGATTTATACCAATGGCCTCAGTGGTACTCGCTGTGTGTGGAGTTAGGATCCCAGAAATTCAGTTCACAATACGGTTGGTATTAATTTGCATATCTTTCAGAGAGAGAGATAATAGAGATCTTGGAATCATGGCTTATGCCTCTGTGTTGTCATTTGAGGACTGAGTCAGCCATGAGTTTAATGAGAGAATGGACTACAAAATGAGTTTCAGGCCAGACTAGAAAACAGGATGAAACCCTGCCTCAAAAATATCTTTTAATAATATATATTTTATGACAATTTTAGGACATTTAGGAAGATATGAAGGGTTCATAGTCATCTTAAATGGATGTCAGTGCATCACACATTATGTAGTGTTGTCTTTCCTCATTTCTCCAGTTGTTAACGTTTTCAATGAAAATTCTTTATGTAAAGAATATCCGTGTTATATGAAGCCTTTGTGCACCAGTTGCAATTTCAATGTCATATCATTGGTTCACACATTTCTCTGTCCTGGGTATGTTAATGTCTAATATACAAACTATTTTAATTTCGACTCTACCATCATCATGGGTATGATTTTGGCATTCATAGGTGAACAATCCACCAAAATAATAATTACAGTGCTTTTACTATTCTTACAAACTTTATATCTGATCTATTCTAATCTGTCAATCTAATGGCTGCTACTTTTAGCCCAACTTTGCACACATGCAATAAAACACTCTCATGTAAAGTATATGAACTATGCAAAGATGTATAATACTAGATCTTAACTTTTAATTTTTTTTTCTCAACCAGGACAAATGAGTTACTTTTTTTTATTCAGCCAACCCACAAGTATTAACTAAACAATGGCAACTGCATTGTTGAACACTGACATTGTTGAACAACGTATGTCAATATTTGGTCACATACTATATGAATTCACTTCTAATAAAAATAATTACATAGGTGAAACTAATATCCTCAATATATAGTTGGGAAAACCAAAGTAGTAAGACACTAAGTAAGCTGTCCAACATCAGACAGCTTGTGATTATCACCACTGTGCCTAGAACCTAAACAGTATGGCCTCAGAGTACATTCTATCATTATACTAAGTCATGATTTCTGTAAGTACAATTATGCACCAAATGAAGTAGACAGACTTGAAGTGTGTCTTAATTTATTTTCTGCTGCTGTGATAAAACACTGACCAAAACCAACTTGAGGAGGAAAGAGTTTATTTGACCTGCAGGATTTGGTTCATTATTGAAACAAGCAAATCAAGGTAGAAACTCAAGGGAGCAATCTGGAGGCAGAAACCAAGGAAGATTGATCAGTGTGCTTTCTCATACACCAAAGGGTTAGAATCTCCCTCAGTGGCTTCCCACATCAATCATTGGTCAGTAGAAGGCTCCACAAACATGTCCAATTTCTCACTTGAGAGTCCTCTTCCTTGGCGACTCTATTCTGTGACAAGTTGACAAAAATGAAGCATCACTAATTACATGCATGCTATTGCCTAACACAAAGAATGACCATTTGCCAGTCAAGCAAGCTAATGGGCCGGAGCAGAGCCTTTATTCCTGGCTCAGCCTACCAGTTTTCAGTTCTCCATATTTAGTCAATAGCAAGCTACAGCAGAAAAAAAAATGTTTTTTTTTTTTCTTCAGTGTCTTGAAGCTAGGGATTTGTTGAGTAGAATAGCAGATGATAATTTGGACTAGACCGTTAGTGTATCTATAACTTCCTCAAGAATAATTCTCACTTACTATTACAGCCAAGTCAGAATTAAATTCAAAAGCAAAGATGGGCTCTGTTTGAAGGAGAAGAAAAGCAAGAGCGCCCAGAGAAGGAGAGAGTAGGCTGGAGCTGTCCAGTCCCGACACATGAGCATCATCAACACAGCTGCTCCTTTGCTTCAAGTTAGAACAGGCCCTGGTGCCATGCAGGTGGATTGTGACTCTATCTCCATCCTGCACACATACAGCAGCAGCACTTGAAGTGAGAAGAGAATCTGGAAGCTCTTAAAGAATTCGGATGTGGGCCAAAGGTAGTCAGAGACTGAACAATGGTCTTTTGGAAACAAAATCTGTTGTTGGTGAAATATCTGGCTGAGGAAACATGTCTGGCAGCAAACCTATCCTTTAGAACAAGGAATTAGGTGCTGAGGACAGCACTCTATGGTTTACAGTTTACTACTTGTGTCTTTCCCATTCATGCTCTCGGGAAATGTATTGATTGACAGCTAATCACTTTTGTATCTCTCTGCTGTGCAAAACGGACATTTAAACAACTTAGACTGTTTGGTATGAAGCAGCTGGGAAAAATGAGAAGGCATAGAGTGAAAGGTAGTTAGCTAAGCAGCAAAGAATTTTGTCTAAGTGAGAAAAAAGAGTGCAAAGTTATGAACAAAGAACAGAAGACCTAAGTTAGTACCGAGACCATGGATACGTTTCTTCAATAAATTTAGAGAAGGTGGAGGAGATGTTGAAGTGTTGCCCATTAAAAAGACTGAAACACAATGGAAGGTTAAAAACATAGTTTCTGCAGGACAAGGACTCCCCTGAAGATTCAGCTCAACCTGGTAGATTCAGTCCAGGCAGGTCCAGTCCCCTCCTCCCAGGCTGAGCAAAGTGTCCCTGCATAAGCCCCAGGTTCCAAACAGCCAGTTCATGCACTAAGGACAGGTCCCAGTCCCACTGCCTGGGGGCCTCCCAAACAGTTCAAACTAATCAACTGTCTCTCTTATCCAGAGGGCCTGATCCAGTTGGGGGCTCCTCGGCTATTGTTTTGTAGTTCATGTGTTTCCACTAGTTTGGCTATTTGTCCCGTGCTTTATCCAATCTTGGTCTCAACAATTCTCACTCATAAAATCCCTCCTCTTTCTTGCTGAATGGACTCCTGGAGCTCTACCTGGAGGACATCAGAATGGGGGGTGGGCTGGGGGAAGGGCGTGGGGGGGGACGGGAGGAGGAAGGACAGGGGAATCTGTGGCAGATATGTAAAATTAAATAAAAAATAAAAAAGAAAGAAAGGTTCTCTTAAATAAAAACAAGCAAAAAAAAAAAAAGGTTCTGAACACAAAACCTGTGGAAACATTGAAATTCCACTTAAGGTAGGTTATGATGACCTGTTCTTCTAATTATATTAATTCTTGTACACTAAAAATACTAGGTATTATTTGTATCATCATTGTCATTAGTAATTTAAAAGAAATAAGGATGAATACAAAAAGGTACTGAGAAATGTATGATGCTAGAACCAGGTATTGTAGGTACTGCTACAATTTTAAGCAGTTAAAAAAATGGTATTGAAACTCTAAATAGAGTAACATAATTTTATATACAGCACACATAAGTTAAATCAGAACAGACCATTAAAAGTACCACTTTGCTCTCTTCCCAGGAGCATGAAAATTAATAAAGTCAAGATTCTCCAATTAGAAGTTGGAAAAGCTACCTAATGCTCAAAAAGTATTTACGATTAATCTGGGCAGTTTAATTCGATCTTACTGTGTGCAATGTCAGAGTCAGAGTAGAGGCTTGAAAAAGAGTTAAATACAAATGTGAGTTTTCTGCTTGGCTGGAGAGGTGGTGCAGCCTTGACTACCTCAGGCTTTCTTTGTGGCTTTCATTGTTTCTTAATATTCTCTCTTCCTGGACTATATTTTATGGAATTTCTTTTCTGTGCTTTGAGAGAAGGGGCAGAGAAGAAAATGACCACACACTGGATAGTTATGCAATTTCAGAGTGCTGTTCTCTGTATTATATTAAGTATTTTGCATTTAATTTTTAGATTAATAGATCAAATTGCATTTTATTCCAATTATGCAAAGTTGCATTGAAAAATGATGCATGTACCTCATTCTTCTCAGAGGAACTGTGTTAATTGATAAAAATTGCTTTAATAATTTGCAACTGTGTAAACCACATACATGGCATATTGCCATACTACTTTTATGCCAATTCCAAGCAGAAGTAGTCAAGCACAATCATTGAATACATGTGTTTAAGACAGAAGCACAGTCCACACTAAAGGGGAAATAGGGTTAATCCACTAAGAGTAAGATTTAGATTTCTAAAGATATTTATTAGCACAGTAATGAATTTTGCTATAATTAATTGAGATTTTCTTAATATGTTTTTATCTTAAGTATTAAGATCCCACTGGCAAAGTGTGCAAAAGTACTTTCTAAGATAAAATGATTTGAGAAGGAAATATTAATTCATACTGGTTAGGTAGTGTTAGTTATGAAGCAATTAACCCTCTATGAAATTGAAAAACATCTGTCATTCTGCTAATATGATGACACATATATCAGGCAAAATATCAACTCAATGTTTTTGTTTCTGGTAGGTCACTCATTTGTGCAAAGCTTATGTCCCAATTCACTAAGTTGTATTCGGAGTCTATTATACTATTAAGGGAGATTTCTCTGAGAATTCTTTGTAATCGTATTAATGTCACATTTCAAATGCACATACATTACTATTGCCAAAATGTTTTTGCATTTTGATTTGCAGAAATGGAACAAAAAATAAGTGACAAAGACATTGGTTTTAAAGAAAACACGATTTCTTCAAAAGCTTTAAAAAAAAAGAACTATAAAAACCTGTAATAAATTGTCTTACCTTTATCCACTTAGCAGTGTGACACTGAACATTTACATTCCTAGACCGCATCAGTACAGAATGTAAGCATCCCTTTGAAATCAGAATTCTCTCTGGCCTGTCAGATTCTAAGGAGGTAGGGAAAAAAATAATAAGAGCTAGCTGAGTGGAATGAAATCCATGAAGGATCATGGGAATTGTAGTCAGCTGTAGCAAGTCAGTTTTGCAAGGAGAGGAGGGAAACAGCATTTGAGATGCAGGAATCGTAGCATCTGAACTCACCTGGCCTGGCCTATTGGCAAAGCTATTGCCATGCCTGGATAAATAAAGTAAAAATATATATATTAAAAAAAAACTACTGCACACAAGCCATTTTTATTATGCTTCTCTAGCAGGTATCTTGGGAAATGAGTTTGAAAATTCTTCTACTTTCATCTGGAATCTCCATATAGCTTCTTACCTGAGGTGAAATTGAAAATGTTTCATTTCTTCTTCAGACTAAGTATTTCAGTGTAGTTATTCCAATTCTCTAAATTCAGCCCAAAGAAATTCAAAAAAGATTAAAAATCTGCTTAACTTCTGTCCAGACACACAGTGTACTTCATTTGATTTATATTGTTCGTAAATATTTTTAAGAAAAGGAAAAGACTTTTTATGGCTATGCAATGTGCTTGTGGTTTAAACTAAGCATTATTTGAAATGAATCAAAATGTTAAAAAAAATTAAAATCTTATAAAGTAAAAACTTACCATAAATAAAGGTTAATTTATCATTGAGGAACGGATTTTTATGAATCCTGTGTAATAGTCACACCGTGATTCTAACACCGACAGTAATGTATAATGCCACCCTCAGCTTCCTGGGTGTCATCATTTGTCCATTAACTTCGAGCAAATCTCAAATCTATAAACTGGACATGAATACACCGGTTTGCCTTTTACTTAAGATTTTCTTCTGCTTCTGCTAACCTTAAATTTATTTAGATCTACAAACACTAGTGCATACAACTATATACAATACTCAGTGAAATATCATGCTATACAGGTTTGTGCTATAGGACAAATAGGCTAGATCTCAGAGTCTAAATACGTTGTTGACTGTCATATAAATATATTCTATGATAATTGGATAATGAGAACATCTCCCAAGGTTGCATTTTTTCAAAACTATTACCTTTATACTAAGGAATAAATGTTTGTGCTCAATGTCTGGTTCTTCTTGGAAATTGATAAATATAGAACGTGACCTTAAAATTCATTATTGCCACTATATATTGGAACTGAGGAAGGCATCGTTACAACACATGAAATAAACTCCCTACTATTCACATTACACTTTGTTTCTCTGACACTGTGACCAACTAATGTGCTCTCTGGTGTTGATCATCAACTGAGAGTTTGAGCATAATATTATTTTATTATTCTAGAAAGTCTATTTTTTAATCTCCTACATTTTATGACTTTGAACACTTGATGTGGGCTTGAATTTGTGACACCTATTGGGTTTAGTTACATGTGGTCTAAAGTCCATGACTGAATGCAAATTATTCAGCCTGGAACATATTCTCCGATCATGTCTTTACTATTTAGTCACCATATACTTATGATTTCCTCTTATTGTAATCAGGATGGATAAGGTCAAGAAAACAAGTGACCACAATATTGACAAGGATGTGGGGGGAGGGGAGCCCTCATTCACTATTGGTGGGCTTGCAGTCCGTTGCAGCACTTATGAAAATCAAAGTAGAGAATTCTCTAGAGATAAAAGTAGATATACCATATGACTCAGGCATACCACTCCTTGGTCTGAGCCTGAAGGACCCAATATTTTATTAAGGAGATACTTTCTCAGACATGTGTATTGCCATTCAATTGAAAATTGAAACAAACTAAATGTCCTTCAGCTGAAGAATGCATAATGATGATGTGGTCCTTAGAGACAATGGGATTCTATTCACCTGTAAAGAAAAAGGAAATCATAAATTTTGCACGTAAATGGCTAGAATGAGAAAATACTATTCACAGTGAAGTTACTCTGTCCCAGAAAGGCAAATTCTGCGTGTTCTTTTTTATTTGTGTATCCCAGCCCTGAATCTTTATATTTAAGCATATAATTGAAACAACTGTGGAAGACAGGAAAGTAGACAGGTGCAATGGAATTGATGTGGGTTTCATACAAGTCAAGAGGAAGCATGCCATAGAAGTGTTTCTAGAAATAAGGATAGTGTGGCATGGGTGTAGTGGAAGGGCAAAGGGGAAAAAGGGAGATATTTGTACTGGGGAGGGGCAAGGAGGGTAATACAAATGGAGAAGGAATACAGAGCAATAAGTAAGACTAAGGATGCTTGACAATCCATAAAAATTATATTATCATATATGCTTACTTAAAAATACATACATACATATGTGCATACATTATATACATACACACACATATATGTACACATATATGGAGTTATGCCACAAAGAATGATAATGCTTCTCTGAAGATACACAGACGATCTCACAAAAATGCAAATGCCAGGCATGGAAAACTTAGTTCACTGGCTTTAATTAATAAAAATTAATGTTTGTGCTGCACACTTGATGCGATCTCGAATCACGGGGAGCTAGGCGTCTGAGCATGTCTGTAGTGAGTTATCGTAATAATGTTTCTTTTTTAAATTATTATTTAGTTAGGATGGTTGTACTCTTGATCCCGCCATGTGACTCACTGGCTGTGAGTGGTACTATTTCCTTGGCATGGGATATTGGGCTGTATAAAAGACAACAAGGTGAGCTGAACGTTAACATGCATACATCTACTGTTCTTTGTTCTTGACTACTAATGTGGAGCGATAGTCTCTCTAGTGTCTCTGTGACTTTTCTTTTGTGATCTACTACTGTGCTAAAGTGAACATACAATACCTTAAGTTTCTCGAGTCAGGGTATTTTATTAAAATAACAAGAAAAGAAACTATTAAATACTCCTGTGAGGAATAAGCATATCTCAAGTAGGTACTGAGCCCTAATTTAAAACCGTCCACCAGGATAGAAGAAGACTTAGCTCCATTTCTTTGGAATAAGATCAAGGTTAAGGAAGAAGGTTATGAAGAAAGTCTTTTATCTTTAGCACATTTTGGACTGGCTACTTGGTAAATTACGGACCACAGTTTAAACTAATGAGTATACAAGTTGACAAAAGCAGCAGGGATTTCCACTTAGACTTCTGTCTACATTCTTCTGTTGCTCCGAGCATATCTTTTTGTATTATTTGTAGTTAGGATGGTTATACTCTTGATCTCATCATGGGATAAAATTAAATAGTTTCATTATTATTGATAGAATATTAAAATCATTATCTATTGATAGAATGTAAATTAGCCTTACTTGTGACAGACTGTAATAGTGACTTTTGAGAGCTCAGCGTAGTAACTGTGGTGGTGAACAAGACAAAGAAGCTGGACCTTGGTCTACACAACACATGTAATTATGGGAAATTAACATGTTATGAAAGGTATTCCAGAAAGCTTCAATGAGCACCCATTCATATATACTATCACTCCTGATATCAACTGAAGCTCACATAGTATCAGAATATCCCATCCAATTGGTAGGATCCAAAAGTATGAAATTTTATAGGACACTTGTAAAATTATTTGTCCATATAGAATAAAGTCCTAACTAGTGGATTGTGGAGTTTGGAAGTGAGTGACAAGACACAAGGAGCATAAGGAGTTGGGGATAAGGATGTTCTATCCCCAGGAGGTATGTGCTCACTTGGCATGGATTACATTTTAGAAGAGCTTTACTGGAAGACGCAGCCCTTAAGGGAAAGAGTAGGCTTTGAGGTCCAAAGAGGAGCTTCATTCAGAGAGATGCAGCATTATGACCATAGGCAATCTTAATGAGGTCTTGAAGGGAGAGAGAAACGGACCTCTCTTGCCAAATCTAGGGAACTAAGGAGATTTCTAAGTCATAACTTTTCATCAGTTTAGACAAGTTGTCAGACCACATGATCTAGTCTGACCTAGCTTAAGTGACAAGGAGTGTAGAGACAGGCTTTAGGTAGGACCAAGATGGTTTGTGATCTTACATATACATATCATTCAAATACATAATAGGCATTATTTTTTAAAAAAATTTGTTTAGAGTTGCTAAGGAAAAAAATGAGGAATTATAAGTAAAGTATGTTATCAGAGTCCAAAGTAATACTACACTACACTATGACCTTGGAAACCTTGGAAAGAAATCCTTGCTTACCTAGTATCATATACTTTATAAGAAAAAAAAAACTTGAATGTTGTTTTAATCTTAGATGGTCTTTTAATAAAATAAAATAATAAAATAAAATAAAAACAGAGCCAGATATCAGGGTGAAAGCTGAAAGATCAGAGAAGTAGAACAGCCAGCCACTAGTTCTTACCTCTACAAAATCCTCAGCCTAGCCAGGTGGCGGTGGCGGCGGTGGTGGCAGTGGCGGCGCACGCCTTTAATCCCAGCACTTGGGAGGCAAGGCAGGTGGATCTCTGTGAGTTCGAGGCCAGCCTGGTCTCCAAAGTGAGTTCCAGGACAGATTGAGCTGTTCACAGAGAAACCCTGTCTCAAAGAACAAAGCAAAACAAAACAAAACAAAACAAAAAATGAGATCCTATTTCCCCATAACTATGCCAATAACGAGTTCCAGGAAAGGTGCAAAGCTACACAGAGAAACTCTGTCTCTAAAAAACAAAACAAAACAAAGCAAAAATCTTCAGCCTAAAGAGAGGGAGTTCCTGTTTCCTCACACCTTATGTACCTTTATCTGCCCTGCCATATTACATCTTGAGATTAAAGGCATATGTGCTTCCCAAGCAAAGGCATGAGATCTCAAGTGCTGGGATTAAGGGTGTGTGCCACCACTGCCTGGCTCTATATCTAATCTAGTGGCTGGCTCTGTCCTCTGATCGTCAGGCAAGTTTAGTGGGATATACAACATACCACCACACTGCAATGGGCAACAGAAGCTCAGAGAAGGATGGGGATAACGTAGGAAATAATGATCTTTTGTAGGACTTGCTAAGGAAAGATGAGATATGAGCAGTCTTTTTGCAGGTTAAGAGTTAGCAAATCTTTATAATTTATTTATTCTTTTCAATCTTCATTTTGAACGTAGTCTTATTATAATCTGTTCACTCTTTTTCACCCTTGATTTTGAAATTAGTATTACTGGAAAAGATTCGAATGGCAACTAAGTATTCATTTATTTTTTTTTTTTTTTAGCAAAGTCATAAAGCTGAGAAATAAAATGATTCACTTCAGGACGTAACTGACTTTGTAGTATTAGTAAAAAAAAAAATGTGTTAACTTTTCATGGGAAGCATGAAGAAATGTCTGTTCGTCCAAGACAGGGTACCAATAATGGAACAAAGTTCACTTCCACTACAGTTCAACTCTGTGAGGCAAGTCATCTTCCAGAACTTGGGTAAGAAGTTGGTTATACAAATACAATATATTGCAGAGTGAAGAGAAGACTAGGAAAACTCCTGCTGTGTTGACTTAGAAACATAGCT